ATGGCTTCACTAGCATGTTCTGCACATTTGTTCCTCAAAGGTAATGGAACACATGCGTCAAAGCCAAATTACCACAGATCATAAATCTGCCAGGTGTAATTTGTTCTAATATATTTATAGGGGGAATACTGGGTTTTTTCAAATACATTCATAAGTGTTAAACTTCAAGACTACTGTGTTGAAATGCAGATGAACATTTGGGGAAAGTCACTGATGAAATTATGAATGCCCAGAGATGAAGATCAAGATGGCCCAGTGGAAACCAGCTCATACCAGAAAGTAGGGGGAGGGAGGCCTCTAGTGGAATACCAATAGAATTCACCTTGTGTAACATTTTTTCTAATAAATTCTAACAAAACACGGAGCACAGAATTCTATTAAGAACCCTATGCAAGAACAATAGCACTGCCCAACAGAAATACTGGGGAGGGGATCTGGCCTAGTAGTTATGATGCTGCCTAGGACACGTGCATCTTGGAGTGTCTGGGTTTGGGTCCCATTCTACCCCTCATTCCAGCTTCTCGCAAATGCACAGCCTGGGAGGCACTGGTGATGGTTCAAGTAGTTGGGTCCCTGCCACCACACTGAAAACCTGGGTTGTGTTCCAGGCTTCTGGCTTCAGTCTTATGCTGGCTGTCACAGAATAAACCAACAGATGAGAGCTCCCTCTGTTACCTGTCTCTCTCTGCTTTTAAAATAAATAAAACACATTTTTAATTCAAAAAAGAAATAGGGGCTGGTGCTGTGGCATAGTGGGTAAAGCTGCCACCTGCAGTGCCGGCATCCCATTTCAGGGCCTGGTTTGAGCCCTGGCTGCTCCACTTCTGATCCTGCTCTCTGCTATGGCCTGGGAAAGCGGTGGAAGATGGCCCAAGTCCTTGGGCCCCTGCACCTGCCTGGGGGACCCGGAAGAGGCTCCTGGCTTCTGATCAGCACAGCTCCGCCTGTTGAGGCCAATTGGGGAGAGAACCAGTGGATGAAGGACCTCTTTCTCCCTGCCTCTCCTTCTCTTTGTGTAACTCCTTCAAATAAATAAATAAATCTTAAAAAAAAAAGAAATATAATACAACTCTCATAGTCATTTAAATTGTTCTTAGAGGGGTCAGTGTTGTGGCACAGTGGGGTTAAGCCTCCATTTGCAATGCCAGTATCCAACATAGGAGTGCTGGTGAGTCCGGTTGCACAACTTCCAATCCAGCTCCCTGCTAACACATCTAGGAAGGCAGCGGGAGATGGTGGGAGTACCTGGCTCCCTGCCAACAATGTAGGAGACACAGATGGAGTTTCAGGCTCCCAGCTTTGGCCTCGCCCAGCCGCAGCCCCAGCCCCAGCCCTAACCATTGGGGGACTGAATGAGCAAATTGAAGATCTCTTTGTCCCTCCCTCCCTCTCTGTCACTCAGCCTTTCAAATAAATACATCTCTCTCTTTTTTAAAGATTTATTTATTATTTGAAAGAGTTACACAGGGAGAGAAGAAGAGACAGAGAGAGAGAGAGAGAGAACTTTTATTCACTGGTTCACTCCCCAAATGGCTGCAACGATGCAAGCAGAAGCCAGGAACCAGGAGCTTCTTCCAGGTTTCCCTGACATGGGTGCAGGAGCCCAAGCACTTGGGCCACTCTCTAGTGCTTTCCCAGGTACATCAGTAGGAAGCTGGATCGGAAATGAAGCAGCCGGGACTTGAACCGGCACCCATAATGGAGACCAGTACTGCAAGCTATGGCTTAATCCACTGTGCCACAGCACTGACCTCAAAGTATATCTTTAAAAAATAAATGTTCTCATAGCTACATTTTAAAAAAAGGAATAGGTAAAATTAATTTTAATCAGTATGTCCAAAATATTATAATTTAAACATATAATCAATATGAACTAAGTAATGAGATATCTTACAGCCTTTTTTTAGTACCAAGTGTTCAAAATGCAGTGTGTGCAAGTACAGCACCCCTCTGTCTGGTCTACCTACTTGCCTTCAAGTGCTTATTTACTTCAAGTGGCTTGTGGTTCCTGTATTGGACAGTGTAGTGTTAAAAATATGAGAGAGAACAAATCTACAGACAGTCCAGACATCAAAATACATACAATGTAATGAGGGTTTTTATCCTTGAGCAGATTTTTCCATCTTTTCCCACCAAGTCCCCAGGAGGAATGACCGACAATTCCAGTCCTTTTTTTTTTTTTTTAACTTTCCTTCAAAGTAAACTGAAATTCAAAATGAGTGAGATGAGACAGCCTCCAAAGAGTTCTAACACCTTACCTACCAGGATTAACTAATTACCTTGGTCATATTCTCCAACTGATAAAACACTGAGGTTCTCCACTGCCCTCCAGATTGGACCTGGAGACAAAAGCAGGCAGCACTGGGCTGTGCTTTAATCATCACCCGCAAGCAGGGGATTCTCCTGGGCCGCACACGCACAAGCATCCTATTGAGAGTAGTCTTCTGGCCGGCGCCGCGGCTCACTAGGCTAATCCTCCGCCTTGCGGCGCCGGCACACCGGGTTCTAGTCCCGGTCGGGGCGCCGGATTCTGTCCCGGTTGCCCCTCTTCCAGGCCAGCCCTCTGCTGTGGCCCGGGAGTGCAGTGGAGGATGGCCCAAGTGCTTGGGCCCTGCACCCCATGGGAGACGAGGAAAAGCACCTGGCTCCTGGCTCCTGCCATCGGATCAGCGTGGTGCGCCGGCCGCAGCGCGTCGGCCGTGGCGGCCATTGGAGGGTGAACCAACGGCAAAGGAAGACCTTTCTCTCTGTCTCTCTCTCTCACTGTCCACTCTGCCTGTCAAAAAAAAAAAAAAAAGGAGAGTAGTCTTCTGCTACACCTGAGTCTCTAGCAAACGTCACTACAGGAAGGACACTGAGAATAAAAACGTCCTCCCTATTTGCTGGAAATTTATACACGGTGTTTATGAATCAATGAATTGCATCGTTTCTTCCAAAAAAGAAAGAGGTTAACAGAAACTGTGGGATGAACTTTCTAGCTCTTGTCCTAAAACTTGAAAACGGGAAAATAAAGTCTGTCCTCTAAAACTAATTCTATGAAATCAATATGGAATAATCCAGATCCCACATTTGCAAAATGGACTGAAAGCAGCGCATGCCAACATCTTCCTCAGTAGCATCTCCCAGGAACAGAGACAATGTGAAAAGCAGACTGGCCCTCTCTCTCCTTCACCCACCCCCTCCCTACACTGCCTCACAGAGACCCAGTGGCTCCAGGGCCAGCAGGATGTAGAGGAAGCTACAGTTATCTCCAAAGCAAGGACACTGTCTGTTAGCAGCAGGGGCCCATGCAGCAAAGCAACAGCAGTGCAATAAGGAGTGGTAAGAGAGGGGGCGGGCGGTGCCCATTATAAACACTGTCTGCTTGCTAGGAAATGGCCTGCTTGGGAAATCAAGAATCCGGTTCCTACAGTAGAAAATGATGTGCTGAGGTTCATGACATTAACCAGTATGGTTACCCAACTGGCTCCCTGGACTTAACCTTGACCAAATGGTCAGCAAACAAATATTTGATCACAAGTTAGTTTCCCAATATATTCTGCTTACAGGGAAAACAAAAAGTGCTAGACAAAAGCTCGCCTTTGGTTCACTTGGTAATTACCCTTCATTCTACAGAGATAACACTCTTGGTTTCAGAGAGTTCCTTGTGACTTTTAATTAACAGGAGACAGTCCCTCAGAGCTCAGTCTACTCCAGGGACACTGGTAAGTTAATTTCTCATCCGGCGAGCCAACAAGGAGATTTTCTGGAGCAAGTGTTTGCTGGGCCCATGGGATGCCTTAAGACCAACCCTCTGGCCTCTCTAGGAACCTTCCTTTGCTTCCTGTGCAACCTGCAATGAACCTTTATGTACACTGCCACTTCCTGTCTTAAAAGAGGCAGAGATTGCCCAGAGCTTTCTCGGTGTTCGTTTCCACCCACCCTTTTCCGGGGGACACTTCAAAGGCCCTTCAGTTTGAAGCTGGGATACCCTATCACCACATCCTTGACTATATGAGTCCTTTCCTTCCCCAAGAATTACATATAACATCTTCTCATATTAAAATTAATTCTTCCAAGATCCCTGGGATGCTACAAACCAAAACTGTGGATCACCATATTATAATGGGTAGATGCTGATTTTTAATCTAGGTGAATGTTATATGTGTATTTGCTATATGGGTCTCTGTGCTTCTTTTTAAGTCTGAGATACTTCACTCTTAATAGGATCTTTTGAGGAACTTAATGCAATGCCTTGTACATAACAGGCACTCTGAAAGTAGTTTTTGGAAAAAGATAACTGGGGCCGGCGCCACGGCTCACTAGGCTAATCCTCCACCTTGCAGCGCTGGCACACCGGGTTCTAGTTCCGGTCGGGGCAACGGATTCTGTCCCGGTTGCCCCTCTTCCAGGCCAGCTCTCTGCTGTGGCCAGGGAGTGCAGTGGAGGATGGCCCAGGTGCTTGGGCCCTGCACCCCATGGGAGACCAGAAGTACCTGGCTCCTGCCATCGAATCAGCGCGGTGCGCCGGCCGCAGTGTACTGGCCACGGCGGCCATTGGAGGGTGAACCAACGGCAAAGGAAGACCTTTCTCTCTGTCTCTCTCTCTCACTGTCCACTCTGCCTGTCAAAAAAAAAAAAAAAAAAAAAAGGAAAGGAAAACGATAACTGAATAAAGATAAATTCTCACCAAATTCCCTTTTCTATGGTTGACACAGGTCAAGATAAACAACTGAATTATCTCATTAATAACATCTCCATTAATATAGCCCCTTATTTGCTGCATAAATAATAATATGTAGCTCTAAGAGAGCGATCACAAGGAGTTAAACAAGCACTTCTGTTTTTATGTGCTATTTGACTTTGAATGTCCTAGGTCATCCTGAGGTTTTTGAAATAAGAAAACCAAGTTTAATATGAAAGCCTCTCTCTTTGGAATTCCCTCAAAATGAAGGATCTGCAACTCAGACTGTGAAGGAGGTCCCCAGGGAGACCGTGCAAAGGGCCCGGGGCACGGGTACCTTGGGCTGCAGCATCAGGGCGGTACTCGGGCTCCTCCTCGGGAGGGCTCTGCAGGAAGTAGAGCTGCTCAGGCAGCATGCTGGCAATCTTCTCCTTCCCCAGGACGTGCGTGCCCAGCAGTGGGCTCACGCTGCGCTTCACCTTCTCCCTCCTCTCGTGGGCCATAATTTTTTTGGTCCGAGCCTTGATGTTCTCCCAGCACTTCTTCAGCTGTTTGAAATCCCGCAGGGACACGCTGGGCTGAGAGTTGTACTCGTGGGCCAGCGCCTGCCAGGTGCGTTGCTTGAGGGCGATGGTTCTCGCATCGCTTTTCTTACACTCCAGCACATATTTGTACTTTTCTACCAAGGCCAGCAAGATGCTCTTTTCCAATTCGGAGAAGTATTTGGCAGGTTTTATGATTTCGTTGTTTTGCATTTTCCACTAGATTTCTCCTGGCCGTTCGCTATTCTGTCAAAGGAAGTTTGAAACAATCATTACCAACCCTTCGCAAAGAACTGTGGGTGAAGTCTGATTAGCCTGATTCCTGACTTGAGCCTCTTGTCTGAAACACAGCACTTGCTTCTCCACTCGTGTGGAATTAGGACAGTCTCGGGAAGACCGTGAACTCTGCTAGGAATGGGGTTCTGCTCCAAAGTAGGCTGTCAGTAGGTCCTTTGTCTTGGCCTTACTGTGACTACCTGGCATATAACAGAAAAGGTTGAGTATCTATCTATGTGGAACTCTACTTTGTAAATTTACTTCCACTTAGTGTTGGGGAACCAGTTATTCCCATAAACATAATATTACTCAGCTTTGGAGCTAAACAGTTTTCTCACACTTTTGTCAGAGCAGAAGACAAGAGAAGCCACAAAGCAGATGACTCAAACACCACCAAGGGTTCAGAAACATCAAGACCTCACTGCAAAAGATCCAACATGTCCATCACAATGCCTGTGACCTTGAATAGTCAAGCTCCCGCACCAACCAGTTTCTTTGTCCTTAAATTGAGGGGCTATAGTCTGCAATCCCTCAGGTGTCAGGGCCACTTTTCTTTTTTAAGATTTACTCATTTATTTGAAAGGCAGAGTTAGAGAGAAAGATCTTCCATCCACTGGTTCCCTCCCCAAATGGCTGTAACAGCCAGGGCTGGACCAGGCGAAGCTTGGGTCAGGGGCTCAAACACTTGAGCTACCTTCTGCCACTTTTCCAGGCATATTAGCGGGGAGCCAGATCAGAAGTGGAGCAGATGGGACTCAAAGTAGTACCTATAAGGACGCCAGTGCAGCTGGAGATTACTTAACCCACTGCACCACAGTGCAGGTCCCACTGCCACTTTAAAAAGTGTAGAATTTTAATTTTTTTGAAGGATGTATTTATTTATTTGAAAGGCAGAGTTACAGAGACACAGACGCAGAGAAAGCGAGGTCTTCCATCTGCTAGTTCACTCCCCAGATGGCCATAACAGCCGGAACCAGGCCGATCCGAAGCCAGCAGGCAGGAGCTTCCTCCAGGTCCCCCAGGTGCGTACAGGGGCCCAAGGACCTGGGCTATCTTCCACTGCTTTCCCAGGCCATAGAGAGAGCTGGATCGGAAGTGGAGCAGCTGGGACTAGATCCGGCACCCATATGGGATGCTGGCACTGCAGGTGGTGGCTTTACCCTCTATGCCACAGCATCAGCTCCAAAAATGTAGACTCTTATGCAAACAGTCTGCATAATTTCAGAAGGAAAAGGGCTTGGGAACTCACAGATCCAGTCTGATGCCCCTTTGACTCTTGAAGGAACTAAGGGCCCAGAAAGGCAAAGGGAATTGGCTGCCCAAGATCACAGACAAGGATCTAGAAAGTCTAAAATCTAAAGTACTCTACTCCAGAACCACAGTCCCATTCCAGAATGGATTATACCATTCCACCCAGGACTCCCTTCAGTCACTGGGTCACACTCCACAGGTACCTAGTAAATGTCTTATTCCACCGAAGCGTCTGAAACCATGTGCATTTTGGGGACCTCACACCTTCTAATCAGAAGCAGCTTCTTGTAAGAAGCTTTAACACATGATGGCAAGAACATCGCTAAGCAACACTGATGCAGCAATGTGGCGGGCGTAAGATGGGAAAGAGCCCGCATGCTCTTAGTCCTTCTTGTGCTCTCCCGGCCCTGGACCTTCCCAGGAACAGGCAAGCATCCAGATAACGATGCTGGCAAAGCAGTCCACTTAAAACTGACCAACCCACATCAAAAGAATTAGGGACCAACTTAAAAAGGGTTCTACTAGCCAGAAATGGGATGTTTTGAGGATCAAGAGGGATGGGTTATTTTATCGGTGTTTGTGTATGCTTGCAAACGTCCATTATTAAAAGTTCAGGGAAGGAGGAAAGCACTGTGGTGTAGTGGGTTCAGCTCCCGCTTGCCATGCCGTCATCCCACATGGGCTCCCAGCTGCTCCACTTCTGATCCAGCTTCCTGCTAATGTGCCGGGAAAGCAGCAGATGGCCCAAGTATTTTGGGTACCTGTACCCAATGTGGGAGACCTGGATAAAGCTCCTGGTTTCTGGTATACACCTGGCCCTGGCTGTGAACCAGGGTCAGAAGTGAACCAGGGGATAGAAGTGAACCAGCGGATAGAAGACCTCTCTCTCTGTGTTTCCTTCTCTCTCTGCAACTCTGACTTTCAAATAAATTAATAAATAATACATCTTTTAAAAAATGTTTGAAGAAGGCTGTAGCTTTTTAATTTATGGTGTACTTTTTTCAAAGATTCATTTTATTTACTTGAAAGGCAGAGTTGAGAGAGAGAGAGAGAGAGAGAGACATCTTCCATCCACTGGTTCACTCCCCAAATGGCCACAACAGCCAGGACTGGGCCAGACCGAAGCCAGGAACCAACAGCTTCTTTCAGGTCCCCCACATAGGTGCAGGGTCCAAGAACTTGGGCAATCTTCTGCTGCTTTCCAAGGCACAATAGCAGGGAGTTAGACGGGACGTCGTGCAGCCAAGACTCAAAGTGGCGCCCATATGGGATTCTGGCATCACAGACAGCAGCCTTACCTGCTACATCATAACACCAGCCCCTATGTACACTTTTTTCTTTTTAACAGATTTATTTATTTATTTATTTGAAAGGCAGAGACATAAAGAAAGAGAGGGTACAGAGAGAGGGAGAGAGATCTTCCATCCACTGGCTCAGTCCCCAGATGGCTGCGACAGCCAGGATTGGGCTATGCTGGAGCCAAGAGCCAGGAGTTTCTTTCAGGTCTCCCACGTGGGTGCAGGGACCCAAGGACCTGGGCCATCTTTACTGCTTTCCCAGGCACATTATCAGGGAGCTGGATTAGCGGAGCAGCCAGGATTCAAACTGGCACCCAGCAGCTTTACCCACTACACTACAATGCCGGCCCCAAACTGTTATTCCTTTTTACAAGAACAAGTTGGTGATATAACATAAGTCCTAACTGTTAATCTTTTGTGGCAGCCATTCTGCTTCTAGGGTTTCCTATTAAATAATCAAGACAGGAAAATTTTATTTAGAAAGATTATATGTATATATATATAATATATGAAATAGCATTGCATATAACAGAAAGAAAAGGGAGTAACTCCTTTTTTCATTTGTGAGTCAAAATTCTGAACCCTTATAGCAGTGGTTCTGGAAAAGAATGGGGGCCCAGGGAAAGTGGGCCCTTCCACCTCTCCTGGGGGCAGAGGAGCGGGGCTGCAGGAGCTGGAGCATCATCCGCTTTGGGAGCCACGCAGCTGAAGAAGATCCAGAGCGCCTACTGCTTCCTTAATATAAACCGCAGAAAGTGAGTTGGACACAGACATCTTGGCAGACAGAGATAATGTGGAACTAATAGAATGTACAGGGCGTGGGTCAATAAATTTCAGCTTGGGGAGCACTGATTTACAGGGAATGGAGGTATTGATGGTGAACAATTCATTTTAGGCCTTTGGAGAAGAAAAGGTCTGGATTGGGTATCGTCGTTGGTCTTTTAGAGCAACCTGACTGAAGTACAGGCCTAGAAATACACGTTTGCAGGGACACATCCCCGAAGATAAGGGCTCCCTCACTTAGCTTGGCTAAGGGTCCGCTCGCCAAACCATTTTGACAAAAGTTCTCAAGCCCTGATAACTTGACACGCCATGTGAATGTACCTGGTATGTGGAGAGTGCTCCCACTAGCACTTCACTGTGATCCTAACTTTTGGGATGAGGCAGTGCAGAGTGAAGATTCTGATTAGGTTCCATCACCCTCGTGGAAAGTCCACACTCCATTCCAAACAGGTCTGACGTATTTCAGCCATTCCCAATAGCAGCAGGCCCTCCCCAGTCGTACCGTGTGACTAGCTGTGTGATTTTTTAAAAGTGTGCCATAGGGGCCAACGCTGTGGCACAGCAGGTAAGGCTGTTGCCTGTGACACCAGCATTCCATATGGGTGCTAGTTTGAGTCCCAGCAGCCTCTGCACCCACGTGGGAAACCTGAAGAAGCTCCTTACTTCCGGCTTCAGATCAGCCCAGCTCCAGCCATTATGGCCACTTGGGAAGTGAACCAGTGGATGGAAGACTTCTCTCCCTCTCTCTCTCTCCCTCTCTCTTTCTCTCCCCCCCAACTCTGCCTTTCAAATAAAATAAACCTTTAAAAAAGTACAACAATTTACATGTCTTTAACTTTTATTAATATAAGGAGAACAGATTTTGTACATTGCACAAGTAGTTCCAAGAAGACAACCACACTTCCCTCACTTCTACAAAGTAGGAACAGTCCATTTCCCCACTTGTTTTACTCTTGCTATTTTTTTTTTGTTTGTTTGTTTGTTTTACTTGACAGGTAGAGTTACAGACAGTGAGAGAGAGAGAGAGCCAAGACACTCTTCTGGGCCGGCACTGTGGCCCACTAGGTTAATCTGCCTGCGGTGCCAGCATCCCATGTGGGCGCCCGTTTTAGTCCCAGCTGCTCCTCTTCCAATCCAGCTCTCTTCTGTGGCCTGGGAAAGCAGTGGAGGATGGCCCAAGTGCTTGGACCCCTGCACATGCATGGGAGACCGAGAAGAAGCACCTGGCTCCTGGTTTCAGATAGGCGCAGCTACAGCCGTTGCGGCCATTTGGGGAGTGAACCAACGGAAGGAAGACCTTTCTCTCTGTTTCTCTTTCTCTCTCACTGTCTGTAATTCTACCTGTCAAATAAATAAATCTTTAAAAAAAAGAAACATACTCTTCTATTTCAGCTATGGAGGTAACAATGTCACCTCCTTGTTTAATGATATGTCAATTTCAGTTCTCGGGCAAATAAGACACACTGTAAAGAATGTAGTACCAAAAAAAAAAAAAAAAAAAAAAAAAAAAGTACCTGTGAGACTGGGTGGAGTTGAAACCAAATGGAATTCATTGTAAGCCATTTGGTAATTCTTCCTCACAATGTATGCAGTACCTCTAGCTGCCACCAGATGGTGGTGGACTTGACCGGGAGTCTA